CACCACCACCACGTCCACGACAAGAACAGCAACACAGCAACAACAGTTACAGGACGGGATAACCCCGCATGCCTAGTGTTTTGTAACGCGGGGACTTCGCTTGATGTTTCAGGAAATATTAGTGAACTTAGAGTGTTAATTCGACGTGGTCAAAGCAACGAAGGCGTGCGCAAAGTGCTACGCCTGCCACGGAATCCAGCATCAGCATGCGTGAGTGCGTGAGAGTAAGTGTGCGACTGTTGGTGAGTGCAAGTGAGGGAGTGAAACAACTCAGTGAGTGTAAGTTGAGTGAGTGAGAGTCTAAGTGGTTGAAAGTCAGTAAGCGTAAATTGAGTGGGTGAGAGAAAGCGTGTGGAAGTAAGTCAAAGTTAGTAAATGTAAGTTGAGTGGGCGAGAGTACGTATTAGTGAGAGAGGAAGGGGTTGAAAGTCAATGGGTGTAAGTTGAGTGAGTAAGAGTAAGCACAGAAGACCAAAGGTCAACCATCGTACACAGCGGCAACCTAAGGTGTGACACAGATGAAGCACATGGGAGTGACACTTGGTGCCAACCAATCACTAGATTAACATGGATTGAAAGAATTCTCCATGTTTGGAGGAATCTCCTGTTAGGGACCCCTTTTTGGGTTCCATTGCAACTTGCAAACGCGTGCCACTCCCAGATGCGGCGTCGCTTCCCTGAAGCACGCTGCAGAGCAGAGCGCGCAGAGGGACGCGGATGCCTTCGTGCTGCTGCCAGAAGGTCGGGGTCGGGGTCGGGTGCTGTGTGTGGGGTTTCCAATGGATTTCTTGTCAGTGTGGGCGTGTGTTTTGTGAGGCTACCCCTGTTCAGGTTGGTTTGAAGGGACTTCAAGAGGGCAACCACTTGGCGGGTCCCCTATTTTGAGACATACTATCCATCGACAGCACAGGTGCGGAGTGGAATCCTCAGTTTTGAGCAAACTTGCTGGTGCTCAGCAGGGAATGAGGGAATGAACCTTATAAACCGTCCCTTGTGGTTTCCGTGAAGCGAATCGCTGGGATCATTCCCACATTCCCTACTGAGCACCAGCACGCAAAGGCTTGAGATACACGATTCGGCAAAAGTCAGGAGATCAAAACGCGGTTCCAAGTGAATGGCTCGCCAGGTTTGACTTCAGGTCTTGGGATTTCAGTGTCACAAAGGTAGTCGGCTTTCCACCAAAAACACAACCATTGGGGTGCTTCTCAAAATGGAAGCCTCCTTTTGGTTGCTTGGGCAGACCGAACAAAATCAGCCTATACCACTTGTTCGGGGAACCTTGAGGTGGACAACATCAGACTATACCACTTTTTCAGGGAAACTTGAGGTGAACAAAATCAGACTATACCACTTTTTTTCGGGGAAACTTGAGGTGAACAAAATCAGACTATGCAACTTTTTCGGGGAAATTTAGTTTGTCAAAATCTGACTATACAATTTTGAGGGGAAAGCTTGGTTGGTGGAGAAACCTGAAGAAAGGACACCTATCCTTGGGTCACCAAAAGCAAAAACAAATCCGGCTAGGCGGTGATCACAGCGCTGTGCTGGCGCTTGGTCGCACCGAGAGGCAGCTGGGCGCCGCTCGCAGAGTCGTTTGGGTTTTGGTGTTAAGGTTTAGGGTCTAGGGCTTTTCAGGTTTAGGAATTTTAGGTTCAGGGTTCAGGGCGTCGAGGGTTCAGGGATTTTAGGGTTTAGGGTTAAGGGGTTAGGGAAATATGACACGACTTTGAGACGAGAGGTTCCCTTGGGTTGGTTTGTTAAAGCGACCTAGGTGCCTGTTGGAAAATCGAAAGGCTGTGCTTGTGAGTGCCCAACTTGTTTATGAAAGGGAAACCAAAAGGTTCTCAGCCGTTTGTGTTTCCTTTTCGGTCCTTGGCACAACCGCCAAGAAGGGAGCCAAGCCTCAAAAAGAACAAGCTTGCCTGTTCTCCCCCGACAAGCACAGGGCGCAACGGGCCCAAAATTCAGCGGACATCATGACTGCCATGGTTGTTGGAGAGGGGGTGCCTTTCTCTGGCTGCTTCAAACGGAACCCACAAGCGACACCACACCATTTTCTGCAGTTTGTCATTTGGAGAGACACTCCACAGAAATCACTAGCAGGCCTTGTTTTTCATGACGCTCTGTTGTGCACTGTTTGCTGCTAGACCCTTCTCGGTTCCACTTTTCGAAGCTCAGACTCTGACCTGGTCAGTTCATTGTTTGTCAAAGTTTGGCCGCTGGCTTGAACAGGTATTTGTTCCGTCTGGTTATTCATATCGTAGTTGATGCGACTGAAGGCTTGCAGAATGCACAGATGTGTCCTTTTCCCCTGAGGTCTGGACATCTCAAGAAGCAGACCAGACTAAACCGGAAAACTATTGAAGAGCCAACGGATGAGACTTGGACTGGCGATATTGTGTTCACGCCAGATCAGATTATGCTTGGAATTTGAAGGGTGAGCCGTTTCGGATGCAGGAAACAAACAATAATTCTGTTCCGATTCCAACTCATTCCCTGCCACCAGCTCACTGCCTATGCAACCAGGAAGGGCAGTTTCCCAAAATGAAACATTCAGAATTTCGAGGGGACGTGTGTTACTTAGCATGGACTCACAGGAGTTTTGACCATGGGACATGTGAGCAATGCGCGGCCCAAAACCGATTCCTATTGGCGACTTGGGTGGTTGTATGCTGGTTTGTCAGCTTAGAGGAGCCAATGTTGGCAAAACCCCCCAACAAGCTCGGGTAGACATGGTCAAGTGACCGCCAGAAATGTTGACAACCATGAGGGGTTCCAAAGGGAGGTCTTTGGAAGGTCAGTTGCTTCGTGTTCCTCAGTTTTGTTTTTCACGAAATAGAGGCTGCCAAGCTGATCTCAGCATCTCAAGGTGGTGAATGAATGTAACCATTTAAACCAACCTCAATTGGGTACCCAAAAAAGACACACAAATGGTTCCGAAGGGAGCCATGACCATGCCCCAGTTGTGTATGTGTTCTTTCGGGTATTCTCCCATTTGAGTTTGTTCTTGGAATGCACAAGGACACAACCCATGGGGCCTCTCGGGAAAAAAAAAGAAACAAAAAGTGGAGTTGGGTGGGAGCCGTTTGAATTCTTCGACAGGACACCTAGGCCGCTTTGCCAGCTGCCAGCAGTGGTGGAGGACTTTATTGGTCGCGAGGCCGGCTATGCGGCTATGCGTGTGGTGCGTGCTTGAGGGCAGCACTTGCTCCTGGGTTTACATAAAGAAACAGCTCGTCAGGATTTCTGAGGGAAATCCTTCAGCGCTTTTGGAAGCCGGAAGGTTGGTTCAAACGGAAACCAAAGGAAAATCATCGCTTTTCATTGAATCGCTTTTCACCTGGTTTTGAGCTGATGTGGTCTCTCCTCCAAAGGGGTCTCCTCCAAAGTGATTCCACATTTTAGGGTGGACGGAATATGAAACAGGATCCGATCATGTTCTGAGTAGCGATGGCCAGGTTTTTGGAGGCGTTTTGATCAATCCTCTTCGGCCCCAAACGTGCGCCATGATTGTTAAAGAGGGGGCACCACCAGCCCCGGTACCCCTTACTCGGCTTGCGTTGGTGTTCTTGAAGATGTATCTAGCACATCAGCATGCCTCGCCAGGTGGATGTGTGGCGACTTCTGGACCTGCTGACAAGGAGGCACCCAGCTTTGTTTGCGCGGGTCCTCTTCCTTGGTATCCCCAATAAAAAGGCAGCACCTGCGGCACCGAAGTCCAAACAAGGGCCATTGTTTTGACAAACCGCCGTGCGCCATGCTCAAAAGACCCCAGCAAGTTTGGGGGTAGGGATGGTCACAAACCCCTTAATCCCCACTAAGGAGTTGTCACAGCCATGGTTCTTCTTGAGCAACCCATGACCATGGCAGACCATATCGGAGGTTTCGACCGTAGCACACAAGGTGCCAAGCAGCACTTGTAGCGGGCAGACACGCGTTGGCCATGCATCCCACTGAGAATTTAAGACTCAAGCCACTGCGATTTGAAGCGCGGTGTTTTGAGCAATGGGTACAATTTGTGCCAAGATAGATGCGGAGCAAGGAGAAGAGAGGATTGAAGAACACGACGAGCATTATTCATCGTTGATGTGGGACGACCTGGACTCTGAGGATGATGGTGAAGATTCCACAGACGAAGAGGACATATGGCAACAAGTGTCACAAATGTCGGTGTCCAGCCACTTCAGCAGCCAGTCTTTGATGGTGAATCCTGAGGAGGTGAGTGGGGAACTTGTGAGGCTATCCTGTTCACCCTGTGAAGGAAAACCAAAAGCAAAACCGAAGCCATACTGTGGATGGACGAAATCCTGCACCACCTAGAAAACCATGGTGAAACTATTGTTTGTTGGTATTTCCAGGGGAATCATCGGAAACCAGGGGCTCTTCGGCGGTGCCTAACCGGATTTCGTAACCCTCCACAGTAGGAGTCGCCCCATGTCGCCCCAAATTTTGACAGGTGAACTTGTGAGGCTACCCTGGGCACCCTGTTAAGGAAAACCGAAAGCAAAGCCGAAGCTATGGGAGTCGCCCTACAGGTGAAGCAAGGGAAGGTGCTTTGCCACACCTTGAAGAGCAGGGTCTACACCGCCTCATGGCAGGGCCAAGAGGTGGTAGCGAAGCAGCTCAAGTCCTTTGACGCCTGGCAACGAGTGGCAACTCCGCCGCTTTTTCATGCGGTTGCGGGGATACCCTTACCCGTTTTGTTTTGCTCTTCTTTCTTTTTTTTTTTGGGGGGGGGGCGGCGGCTGGGTTTGCTTTGCATCAACAAGCCCAACAAGACTTTGGGCGTCATGTTTTCGCCTATCTCCCCTAGATGTCCGCGATTTTTGAGGACATGAGTTCAGACCACGGGATGTCAGAGCTCCTACATGAGATTCACATCCTGAGCGGCTTGCGGCATCCTTGCTTGGTCCGGATGATCGGCGCCAACCTGGGCTCGGATGCTCCGCCCGGCCCCTTCATGCTCACGGAGTTCATGGAGCATCACGATGTTGAGACGCAGCTCTGATTTCATCTTGGATCCCTTATCTCAGTAATACTGTGGATGGGCGCAATCCTGCACCATGTCTCTTACCATGTCAGAGACATGGGAATGCATTGTTTGTTGGTGTTTACAGGGGAATCATCATTCCGGGGGGTTCTTAGGCGGTGCAGGATTTCGTCAGTATGTTCCCTGCAAGTTCAGTCGTTCTTTACTTTTGGGGCAGTGGGTGTTCTGGCAAGGTACATGCAGAAGCAGCAGCAGGAGCACGAGGATCCCTTCTACCGGCCCGGCTTCGAAGTGGCCATGGGCTGGGCGCGCAACACTGGCCAAGCCTTGCGGTACCTGCACGGCCTGCCTACGCCCATCATCCACCGCGACCTGAAACCGTTGAACCTATTTTTGACCAAAGACTTGCAGGTCAAGGCGGGGATTGTGTCAAAGTGGGGGACTCTCAATCTGTTGCTTTCCTTTTGGTTTCCCATTGAACCAAGCTGAAAAGGGTACCCCCCTCCAAAAAAAACACAACCACGCACACAGGTGGGTGACTTTGGCATCAGCAAGGTCATGCCCGCAAGGCACATGGTCGATAAGTCCCCAGCGCCCAGCATGACAGGGGGAGTCGGCACATGGAGGTACATGGCACCGGAAGTCGCCCGACATGAAGCGTACACTGACAAAGTGGACATCTACGCGTACGCGCTGATCATGTACCTCTGTCAGTCGCACCAAAAGAATCGTGCTTTTTCTTGATGGTTGCGATTTGGCATCCACCCTAAACAAAGGGAGGTTTCTTTCAAATATATTTGTTGAACCAAGAAGCGGCGAGGTACTATATCTTTTCCGGGAAACAGCCGTTCCATTCCATGGAGGTGGATGAAATTTTGGACGCCTTCGGGCGCGGGGAGGAGCCTCGGCCGGAGGTGCAGTGCTTGAGCCGCGAGCTTGGCGCCTTGCTGGCGGAGGCCTGGCATAGTGAGGCAGGGGTCAGCGGGAAGCAAAGGAGCCTGGCCAGGGCTCCTGAAAAGATCTCCATGTTGCAACCATTTGAAGCATGTTGCTTTTTTCCACCAAAATAAAGTTGGAAGCCACCATTTACAAGGCAATGTTCAGGGATCCCTGCTGGGTGAATAGGGAAGCCAGACCTATTCACACCGTGGTAAAAAGAGGTTGTTTAAACAATGCCCTAAGCCGGAAACGTGCAAGTTGCCACTCTGACTCTGGCCTGTATGTTTACAAGAGGTGTTTAAGCGAAAGGACAACCAAAATAATGAGACCATGCTTTTGGTCATGATTTATGCAATCCCAACCCAAAGAGGGTGCCACTTCCCATTGCCCACTTGGCTGAAGTCCAGACATCAAATCCAGCGTTCCACCAGGCGGCCTTGAGACCCTCTGCTGCAGATTGCTTGGTCCGCCTGTCGGAGATAAAGATGCCCAGCTTTCGGCAGAGCCTGAAAGAGTTGTTGGGCATGAGGTGAGCAGTGTCCAAGAGTTCCCAAGATGGCCATTCCTGACCTTTAATCGACCGTTCTTTGCGGCGACATCTTTTGGCAGGCGGTCGAATAAGGGTCTCGCACTTTGTAGGTGGTTCGGCTCCCTGAATAGTGAACAAAGATGCGAGCTCTTGCAATGAGCTTCGTTGTTGCACGGTTTATAGGAATGGCTAAAAGCTTTTGGTGGAGCCAAAAGTTGGGGTCGTAGAACCCGAAGCACGCATTGGCCTGCTTCAAATGCTGTACCGTTAGCATTTTAAGCCCTTTGAAGAAGTGGAAGCAGCGATGTGACCAAGCACCTGTCCGCATGTGTTTCTTTCGAAAATTCCCAGGCCATTCCTGGGGGTCCAATGCTCAAACTGGATAGAATGTTTGCCGCGGAAAGTGAGCAGTTTAGTCGCATTCGCTCTCTAGCTACCTTTGGATGCGGCACAAGTTTCCTTAAGTGCCAAGATGGCCAGCCAGTCCTGCAGTCAGCCCAACCGGCGGTATATTGCGGTATGGCGAACCCGTGCTGCGCGCAATCAAAAGCAGCGAGGCATGTTGTACTGTGAGCGGTTCTCTTCGGCGCATGTTGTTTGTGGGGATAAAAGTCTTATGCTGACAGGCCATCAACACGTGGACACCAACTCCACCTTCCTACAGTAATAATTCGTCCGCAACGGTATCTAGGATGCCCAAAACTTGCACTTGAAGCCTTCCAGCTGGACTTCTTCTTCTACCTACTTCAAAGAACCAAACGACTCTTTTGAGGGTGTCACCCCAAAAAGGTGGTATTTGCTATGCCCGTAGAAAAGGCGGGTATTTGGAGTGGGGGTACAACAAGTTCATTCTGTCCGAACCCAAACGAGAAGGTATTTTCGGTTTACCAACCCCTGGTTCCTGTGGCGGGCAGATTGGAAGCCACCAATCCAAACCACCGAACCACCAACCCAAACCACCAAACCAGCAATCCATGCCGCCAATCAGAGCGAAGCTGATATTTACTACGGACAGCCAGGCTTTGCGAAACAAAGCAAACGCCAGGATTCTGCATTCGCGGCAGAAAGGCGAGACCAAAAATCGGGATGTCGCGGCCATGGCTTGCAAATGGTCTGTGGAATGACTCTCAATGGCTGTTTTGGGGTTATCTGCCAGCCATTGGGGGGTCCTGGGGCTGTTTGTTGGTTTTGGGTTTCTTTCTAGGCGCCTGGTGGCGGTCACGGGTGAGAAGGGCATCGGCAAGAGCACCCTGATGGCCGCGGCGGGGCGCTTCGCGCAGCTCCGGAAGGGCTCCTTCCGGGAAGTGCGCCCTCGCATGCAGTCGCTACGTGTTTTCCGCTCTTCGTAGTTTCCTTGATCTTCCAGGACCCTGGAAAAGCAGGCCTTTGGACGAATTTCCTTTGGAGCCAAGATCAAAATCAAGAAGGACCCTGGTTTTGCAGGTCCCAAGGGAAGACCAAGGTATGTCCATTCGCATTTCTGCCATCCCGGCTGCCAGGTTGTCCGATGACCCAAGCCCAACAAAAGAATTGTGTCCACATCTTTGGGGGTTTAAGCTGAAGATCCCCCAAAGCTCCCCGCCCCAGTTTGGGCCAAGGGATGTGTTGACTGAAGCACATGCGGGACAAAAACAACACACGGTTGTGGCCAGATTGGGTTTTAGGATACACACACTTTGGGTGATTCCAAGATATTCCAAGGGAGCCTTGGACAACCCACACATGTTGAATACGTCGGTTCATGCCTCCGGTCCCATGTGAGACCAGTCCTGGAAATTTGGAAGGACGGTCAACCCACACTTGAAAAGGCCCCAACTGACCTTGGCTTTTGGCGAACCCAAATTGTCTAGTAGGCCCAACATCCCCTTAGGCAGTAAATTTTGACCGCTGCTCACGTGAAGGTTGCGGGCCAGAGCGACTCCATAGCGCACACCGACGGTTCCATTCTTTTCGTTTTGTCAGCTACTGTCGATGACATGGGAACACACACACACACACACACACGCACACACACCCAAGTACCTTCTGGAAATGGGAGGGGCGGATACTAAATACATATTGACTGTATGACACATGGTGTGGTGTGTCCGTGAAGGGGCATTTAATCTACCAGCATTTTTGCTGGCAGCAAAGCAATCACGGCCTCTTTGGGAAGAGGCCTTCAACACACATACGTTCTACGCGACCGCCATTGCTTGGCCGATGTGAGGAAACTAAAGTGACAGAGGATCCCCAGAACATGTAAATCAGACATGCTGATATTGCTCTGGATTTGGCATAGGCATAGATTTGTCTTGATGTTAGCCGTGCTGACCCTTCAATGAGGCAGACATGTGTTTCAGGCATCGTTCAGAGGCGAGCTTGAAGCACTTTAGCACGTTGCAGCGGGGTATGATGAGAACATCTTGCGCTCTTGTCAGATGTGTGACCGCCTAAGGTTCTGGCTGGATCGAAGTGGCATGTCCGCAAAGTGGGGCGGGTCGGCCAATCTGAGACCGGGGAGCTCCTCTGGACACTAATAGGCTCAAGCAGTAAGACGCATGCTGTGCGTTCGGACATGTCTGGTGTGTATCCCTCCCCTTTCTCCAGGCCGCATGGAGGGATTTGGAAGCATATTCCCACTAGCCAAATTGCCTGTCCGTAGGCGTGCCCGGTCTGGTGTTGTTCATAGCTTTCTGATTTGCACACTGGCCACCCTTCTGGCCGATTGACTGGCGCATATGTGCCATGTTTCGGGCATGGAGAAGGGTTTGCTGTCCTGAAAGAAGGATGAAACTGGGTTTGTTGCGTAGTTGCCTGCAAGATGCCCATCATGTGTTTGTGTATGTATGCAATATACGCGCCCCCCCGCAGACAATCAGCACTGGGAACAAACCAGCAAAAGATGATAAACCCTTGGCTGGGGCATTGTGGAAAGCTTAGCGCCCAAAGAAGCTGAAGATCAGGGAACTCCCGCAGATCGCTACAGCGAGCTTTCGTGATACGATGTTTTGATGGCAGTTGACCTCTTTTGCTGCTTTGTTTTGTTTCCTCCCCTCCCGGGTTCCCTTTGCTTCATGCCCTGTCCCCTTTATGCAACCTTGTCCATTGCTCCTCGTCTCGCTTTCTTTCCACTTCGTCTCCCCCCTGCGTTCCTTGTTTTTTGCTGGCTCAGGCGTCAGGTTGCACATTGCACAGGCTGCACAGGCATGTGCATCTGGTGCGTGTGATTCAGCTTCAATAGCTTTTGTCCACCAGCTCTCAAGGTAACTTTCCACTTTTCGCTGAGGCCCATGAACGACTGTGGGTGCCTATGCTATGCAATGAAACAAGTTGAATCAAACGCCCTGCCACTGTGCTTCAGGCTCGAGTGAACCCGAAACACGCTCGTCTTGCTCCGCGTTGCTCACGTCAAGTCCTAGCTGGGCACGAACCTTCCAAGGGCCTTGAGTGCTCCTCTCTCTTTCTCCTTCCCATCCTCCCCATTCTCTCTCTCTCTCTCTCTTTCTCTTTCTCTCTCTCTCTATCTCTCTCTCTCTCTGTTTCTCTTTCTGTTTCTCTCT